ATGCTCTACCCCGAGTTGTAGCTGCTGTAGTTATGAATATGAACTGAGATAAACATGGTGCTAGTTTTTATTGCATTTTTTCAAGTTACAACTTTTAGCTGAGTTGGCACCTACAAATGGTGAGATTGCGCCTGTGCCAATGGTTTGTGAAAACCTGTAGTTCTCACGCTACTACTTTGAGACCTCATTTCAGTGGGGCAGGGTGAAGTCTTCAGCCATAGTTGTGATAGTTGTAAATGGTCAAAAATATGCATTCTTTGAATTTTTCCATCCATCGAGTTTGCAAATTGTTCGCCTAAAACCGTCTTAAAAATAATGGATTCTTGTTTGTAAGTCAGCTGACAAAGAGCAACCAAAGATTTCTGGTCTTGAACATATGAAAATTCTCCCTACTTACCTGTGCTATAAATAACAGTATCTAAAGTGAAAACTTAAATACTCTATGGTGGCTAGGTTATCCTTCAAACTCTGAATTAACACTTTAAAAAATATTTTTAAAAATTTGTTGAAGAAATTAAGTTACAACTATAAAGTGGGTATTGCTTAAATAGATGTGATTATATGGTTTGAGATTTTTATTTTGATGTGGGAGATTTTTGTTTCCATGTTCATTAAAAACTATTTCTAAAACAAAATTGCATAACTTAAGGCTAAACAGAAGAATAAATAACTTTCAAAGAAACAATTAAGAAAGACACTGGAGAAAGAATGAACAAGGCTTTGTAAAGTGATAATTAAGACTAGTTAATATATATTTTGAAATGTTGTAACTGGGCATTTGGTATTAGAATAATAATATAAATATAACATATATATGTGTTGGCATGTAGTTGAAATCTCAGACAAACATAGTGAGTCCAAATAAAGTTATGAGGTCTTGAGCTAAAGTAATTGAGATCTGTTAAGAAAACATGATTTGTTTTTAACTAGTGCTGCTAATATCTACAGTTTGTTGCATCAACTTCTTTCTAACTTATGTATCACTGGCACCTGTTTAAAGTAATTTATAAGAAATTTGGATGTTCCTAGACAAGAAATGTTATGAATAGAGATGATTCCATTTCCTCACTGTTAAAATTGGTTGTTAGTTTTTTCTTTTAAGTTGATTATTTCTAATTATGATAATACAGCAGCTGTAGACAATGCCCTTTCTTTCACATTTCATGATATGAAAGTGACTGTAACTTGTTGAAACTCAGCCCTGGTCTTATGTTACTATTATTAGTCCTGGGGAGGCTTATTAGCCTGTCACAGACGCTGTAAGAAAAATTCATCATTTCTTTTGGAATACGATGAGTCTTTGTCACCCACAATGCAATTAATGTTAAAAATAGAAAGAATGGTTATGATATGATTATGATTAGCCAGAGATGAGCTATTGTCCAAATAAAAGAACTAATCCAGCAGGCCAAAGATGACCTATACGGTTTGCTGATTGCCATTTCTCTCTGAGTTTGATGAAATATTCATGCCTTTGCTCTCCTCTCTGCAAGCACTATTGATTTCTTGTATAAACGCTGCTATATTTAGTCTAGACAAATGGAATGTGGATTGCTGCTGAATAAATTGGATGAAAGACTGGGATCTTGCTTGCCGCTTTCTCTCAGTCTTGGGCAATTATTTATAATCAAGAGCAGTTTTTGTAAGTCGAGGGTGATTTTTCACAATTTAGTGATTAGTTTCTGAACAAAGGCAAGCAGTTAGACACAATCATTTCTGTTGGGATAGCAGGTTAAGAAGTCAATTTACCCTTTGAGGTTTACAATAGCTGTTTTGGAGAGTTCTGGGACTTTTCTTCTCCCTTATCTTGTTTTGTGGGAGAGGTTTCTTAGGGATTTGATGTTCACTTTTTTTTTTTTTTTTTAAAGATTTTATTTATTTATTTGACAGAGCGAGATCACAAGTAGACAGAGAGGCAGGCAGAGAGAGAGAGAGGGAAGCAGGCTCCCTGCTGAGCAGAGAGCCCAATGCGGGACTCGATCCCAGGACCCTGAGATCATGATGTTCACTTTTTATGGATAAGAAGAATGACAACACGCAAAGACCCCAGGGTCTCCTGAAATTCTACATTTTGTCTTTATAGGGTTAAATTCTGACCTTTGTTTATTGGGATTTCCATATGTAAACACTGGAGGCTGTAGTTTGGCCTTTTTAATGCAAATATGAAATATATCATTAACAGTCATTGCTTTTGGTTGGAATTATACCAACTCCATAAATTAATGCTCAGAATCTCGTGTTACTCCAGAGTCTTGATTGAAAGTTCTACAACAGACTCCGCTACTAAGAAATCATACAGGCCATCATCCTCATTTAATCCCAAACTTGTCACAATTACTATCTCTCCTTTCATAAATATCAGTGTTTTAGAAGACACTGTCCACCAAACTATGGTTTATTAATAAATTGTTTTACCATTTCTGTTAAAGTGCCATGTGTAGTACCATCAATGCAAGCTTCTGATCAATACGTTGAAAAGTTGACCAGGGTTCACAACCCAAGATTGATACCAGCGCCCCCTCCCACCCCACCCACAGGTGCATACCACATGCCCTGTGCACATAGGCAATTCAAGTGATAAGTAAGGACATTAATGTTTCATTCAGTATTTGCAGCCTTAACTTCTACAGACAAGATTTCTGTTAGCCTTTCGACTCACTGAAAATAGCTCTTAAATCCACACCGAAAATTAACTTTGTAGTTCCCAACCTGGAATCTACAATTCCAGGTTGTGGAATTAAGTTACTTACAACAGTAGTCAGAACATTAAATGCAATTTGGAAAAATACAGAAAAGTAAGAAGGGGAAATTATTTCTACTTCCACTCCAAATATAACTATGTTCTGTTCTGTATATCACCAGTCTTTGCTACAAGGATTCAGAGACTAATACAATTAAAAATGCACTAGAAGATTTGCTCCAAGAGGGCTGGAATTTTTTGTCTTTTTTTGCTTTCTTACCAAACCTTACATCCCTTAGAATTTAAGGCTCTCCATAAATGTGAATGTGTATTGGCTTAAGTTGTATTTATTTAAAGAGTTATCAGAGGGTATATGTCACTTTTATTACTGTTTTTTCATTTAATGTTGTAATAGCATTCTTCATGTTCCCATAAACATTACTTTTAATGAGTATGTGTTTTTCCACCATATGGATGTGACATATTTTACTTAGACGCTTCCTTGTAGTTGGTGGATTTCAATTAAAATGATAATACTTCAGTGGACGGTATGACATTGAACTGTAGTTTCCCGTAATTATTGTCTCCTTAAGATATATTCCTACAGTTGGCAAACCTGAATCAAATGGTAGGATATTTAATGATTTTTCCTACATGTCACCAAGTTGTTTTTCAGAAGCTCTAACCATTTGGTAATACCACTTGCGTTATGTAATTATCTTCTTGTTCAAATGCTTACACCACACAATGGGGTATTATACACACATATGCATATACGTGGATCATACAGATGATACTTAATGTTTGGAAAATGATGCCTTACTTTGACTTAGAATTTGCATTTCTTTACTAGTAAAGGTAAATTTTTAAAAATTGTTTATTTAGGGACACCTGGGTGGCTCAGCCATTAAGTGCCTGCCTTCAGCTCAGGTCTTGGTCCCAGGGTCCTGGGATCAAGTCCCGCATCAGGCTCCTTGATCACTGGGGAGTCTGCTTCTCCTTTTGCCTGCCGCTCCCCCTGTTTGTGCACACGCAATCTCTCTCTCTCTCTCTGTTTCTGACAAATAAATAAATAATAAAATCTTCTAAAAAAATAAAGATTATTTATATTCCTCTATATTCTTTTACCACTTTTCTAGAAGTTTTAGTGTTTTTATTTTCTAGTATTAAATGAAAATCTCATGCAATTTTATTTGCATACTTGCTCTTAATATTTTTGTTTTGTTAGCCACACTGTGTTGATCTATTTTCATACACAGGAAAATTCCATTTTTATTAATTTAAAAAACCCAGAGCATTTATTGAGAAATGTTCTGTATGTTGTAAATCCTTAGAGTGGATTATCCCAGTTAATCCTTTTAGCAACTCCATGTTGTTACTTCCTATCTACCTTGTCTATGAGTTTTTGTGCTTCTACTGTCCTACAAATGATCTGATAGAAGTAGTAAGAATTTTTTATATGTTACCTATTTTTTTAAATTTAAATATCCTATAATTATTCTTGTCAAATTAATTAATCTCATCAGTCTTTGTTCCTCTAGTGATTTGATTTGTTTTAAGCTTCCTTACCATTTTTATGCCTTACTCATTTTAGGAATAAGGTAACTGAAATAGCGTTTATCATCATTGAAAGACCTGACACTTGTGGTTGATTAACTAATCCACTTACCATTTTCAACATCTTAGCATGCAGATTTGTACTTGTTCTTTGGCAGGTCCAACAGCCCCACAGATACATTGTCGAAAGCTTTAATTCTTAAGGAATTCCTTAATTCTTGAGGAATATATCTTAGAATATATCTTCTGACTCTGATTACAAACTAACATGCCTGCAAGTGTGGAAATCGAGTTGTGATAGAAATTTCTCTCTTAAAACTTGGCATTTCTTCTTCAGTAGAGTAGCATTTTTTTGTCCCAGGTTTGCCTAACTTACTACTAAGTGGTCCAGTAGAGTAAGTTTTGTAAATGACTTTTGATACCAGGAAATAACTGGATTCATCTCTTTGTGGTTCTTGGTTTTTGTTTTTTTTGTGCGGCGGGGGAGAGGTGGTGGTGCAGGATTCATCCCTTTGAAAAAAGAAATTCAGAAGATTCATGAAAGTGGGTCGCTGGGTGAAAGTTAGCGTATGGTCCATTTTACCAAAACTCATACACTAAAGACCTTTTATTATCGTTGTAAAAATGACTTCACTTGTTGACATAAAATCTGTTCATATAGGGTATAGTGTTTTTTATTTTTTGTTTGTTTCCAAATCAACATACTCATTTCCCAACCTCTGTCATGCCCTCCCATCCTTTCTTTTTCCTCCTGCTTCTCTAGTGGATGTGAAGTCAGAAGTTCCCGTGGGCCTGGAGCCCATCTCACCTTTAGACCTGAGGACCGACCTCAGGATGATGATGCCTGTGGTGGATCCTGTTGTCCGTGAGAAGCAACTGCAGCAAGAGTTACTCCTTATCCAGCAACAGCAGCAAATCCAGAAGCAGCTCCTGATCGCCGAGTTTCAGAAACAACATGAGAACTTGACACGGCAGCACCAGGCTCAGCTCCAGGAACACATCAAGGTAGCAAATGTTTCCTTGCCTCTGACCTTTTCACCCAGGAAGCCTGCAGCAGGACATGGGCATAAGAAGGAGCATTGGGACGGGGGTGGGGCGGTGAGTTTCACCATGATTAAGATGTGGGAGTATGGCCTGAAAGAAATTGTGATTTTACTGGTGAGCACCTTGGGTAAGTAGTAGGAATGCTGACTAAAAACAAGCTTTGCTCTTGGAGGGGGCGGTGGCCTCTCTCACTCTCATCCGTTAGTGTACAGCATCATTAGTAGGGAAAAGCAACTTTCCAACCTCTGTTGAGTTTGTCTTCAATACGATTTTGTTCATTGGCCCTGTCTGTTCTCCACGAAGAAGAACCATGAGCCTGGGAAGAGCCATTTTATATTTTTACAGGATCTGCATAAACTACTTATCAGAAATGATAAAAGGAGAGACTTTTTTGTTTTTGGTTTATACGTGGATTTCTTAAGCTTTTATTTAAATTCCAGTTATTGAACAGTCAGGGTAATATGAGTTTCAGGTGTACAGTGTAGTGACCCAGCACTTCCTACATCCCAAGGTACTCATCCTAAATCTCTATCACCTGTTTCACCATTGTCCCAGCTGCCTCCCCAAAAGGGTATTCTGAATATATCCTAATTTTTCCCTTGAAGAAGACCTTATAATGTATACATTTAAAGTGATAACATAAAAGTTCAAGAGAATTACGTATGAAGAAACTGATGCAAATGTTTTTAATATTTTTTATATAAGTTTAATAGGCTGCAGATAAGAATTTTTTTAAAGAATTTTGGGAGTAGTTGACAGTTTGAGATCCAAATTGTTTAAAATATTCTAGGAGAAATATATCCATGTCCCAGAATTTTTTATGATAGACTATTCTCTTGTCAAGTCACTTTAGATGTATCTGGGTATCAGTTTCTTCTTGTATCTTTCAGATAAATATTGCTTTAGTTTTATTTGGGAAATGTCTTTCAAATTCTTGACAAAGACATTTAAAATATAAAGCTATTTTGGTCTGATTAAGTAGATGTTTAGTTTGAATTTATTATGACAGTAATAAAAGTCAGCAAATACTTATATAAAATTCCCATTTTTAGGTCTATGTCCTTCAAAATGATGTAAATACATGTTAACTTAGTAATGCAATAAATTACAGGTTCTAGATACTTGATCTATTACTCACTTGCGTGTTAAATACAAACACATTTATGTCAGATTAATATAGATAACTAATCTATGTTAATATTATAAAAAATTACCACATTAATATTAGTGTCTGAGAAGGTAAAAATGCTATCTTCTTCCCTATATCCTTTCTTTTTTAAGATACACTTTCTTAGCCTGAAAGGCCTCTTTATCTTCTTTTCCAAAAAAAAAAAAACTTTGACATCTGATATAAAACATCATAGTTTTCTTCTTTAGTAAAGTTTAGTAAAAGAACCCTTGCAATTTATTCTTCCGTAAGATACCTTAAAACTAAGAGTAGGGATTTTGTTTTGGGTCTCATAAGAAACCAGTAGCTCATGGCTGTATTTTATAGAATAGGAAACCTTCATTTAGTTTATAGACAATTTTTATTATGTTATATTAGTCACCATACAGTACATCATTAGTTTTTGATATAGTGTTCCTTGACTTATTTTTAAAGCATTATTATCTGACCCTTGAAAAAATATCAGGAGCATTGATGTTTAGATTTCCTTCTCCATTCATTCTTGGCATGTTAAGATGACAATGATGAATGAATAAAATTTATATTCTTCACCATACTTTTAAAAGTACCTATATAGTTCATTTTGCTGTGGTACTGATTCATGTTACACTGAATACAGGACAACAGTAATGCTTCTTTTCATTTATATTTGGTATCTTTTGTAGTTGTGAAGATTAACATGAAAATTTTTGAAGTAATGTTTTATTTTACTCACAGGTTAATAGTAACAAGTAGGTAATTAAGTATTACTTTATTTAGCTCAAACAAAGTAATACAGTAGGTCTGCTGACATCTGGAAAATAGCAGAAAAGAGGAGGCTCTTGACAGAGAAAGGATTCTGAGATAGCTAAAAGGAAAATTTAGTTTTTGAAAGGATTTTCCAAAGGCATAGGTTTTTTTCTCAGAAACTAAAGATCTATTTTAAATTTCCTTTTAAGTTTAGGAAGCCTTTTACTTTTTAAATTTTTTTGTTTTATTTTACTTTACGTTTTTTATGGGAAGGGCTGAGTTGATTTTTTTTAACATTCACTTGGATTTTATGTTTATGAGGAACACAGTATATGAAGCTTTACTTATATTAGCATTTTGAATCTTTGGTTTCTATAATCAATATCTGTTGAGTTAGATGTTGTTATCACATTCTTCCACTTAGTAAGCTGAGGCAGAGAGAAATACTGAAACTTACCCAAGACCACACAGCCAGTAAATGGTTGTTCCAAGATTTGTAGTCTTACCTTGTCTGCCATCAGAACTACCACTTCATCCTCCCTGTGTCATGTATCAGAACATCTGAAAATGGGCAGTTGATGTTTTGTTCTTTCTCTTTTTTTTCAGTGTCAGTCCTGCAGTCTTCAATAATGAATAGTAGCTATGGAAATTAAATTGTGTGCTTTTCTAGATTCCTAAGATAGATTAAATTTCAATTTGATTGGGGCTTTTGTTGAAATCAGTTTCACCAATCCCAGTAGCTGTATAAAATTAATATTTAAGGCAGAGTTTAAGGGAAGTTATAAAGTTTTCTTTGACAGTGCAGTATCTAAAGTCATCCAATAAAAGACTGATATATCAGAGCCAAAATGCCAAAGATTTTAATATGAAGAGTAATCAGAAATGCTTCTAACCATATCCTTCAGGCAGAGGTGAGACCGTCGTGATTGGCACGCCAGGTTGGCTTCCTTTCACTCCAGAGTAACTGATGCCATTCCAAAAGATTTTTGGTTTTGTTCTCTTACTTATTGGCATAAATTTCAGATTTTTAGGTATCTAATATAAACAACAGATTACACCAACTTCATTATGACTGAGATCTAAAAACAGTAATAATAATTAAAATCAGAATGGTTCAAACTTACAAACTAAATCTCATGTGCATTCTGAACATGTTGTGTGATGGAGATAACTTCTCTTACATACAAGGAACCAGGGCTTTGAGTAGTTTAGTAAGGTGCCTAGATTTCATATCTAGTAATATCAGAGCTTAAGTAGAACTCACAATCTTTAGTTACTCCACAGTGAGCACATTTATTATTATTCACAGATATCTCTCCATCTGAGAAAAAACGGACATGTCAAGACAGTTATTAAGAATCCGTCGTTGTGGAGCACCTGGGTCCCTCAGTCATTAAGCATCTGCCTTTGAATTGGGTCATGATCCCGGGGTCCTGGGATCGAACCCCTCATCAAGCCCCTCACCGAGCCCTGCATCGGGCTCCCTGCTCGGTGGGAAGCCTGCTTCTCCCTCTCCCACTCCTCCTGCTTGTGTTCCCTCTCTCGCTGTGTCTCTATTAAATAAATTTTTAAAAAATCTTTAAACAAATTTAAAAATCCTTCATGTTCATGTTACCTATTGTTTGGAACTGAAGTCAAGGAATTCAGACAACCTGACAGTACTTTAATGGAAATGATTTTGTTTTGACCCATCTCTAATCAGAAGGTTTTTGCCTGCTGGATGAATGAACTAGGCTTCTGCTGTTTTGAGAGACATGCCTACCATGAATATATAGATACGTTAATCCGAGAACATTCTCTATAAGGTTTTGAAGGTTTTAAAAAAAATTTTTTTTAAGATTTTATTTATTTATTTGACAGAAAGAGAGATCACAAGTAGGCAGAGAGACAGGCAGAGAGAGAGGGGGAAGCAGGCTCCCTGCTGAGCAGAGAGCCCGAAGTGGGGCTCGATCCCAGGACCCTGAGATCATGACCTGAGCCGAAGGCAGAGGCTTAACCCACTGAGCCACCCAGGCGCCCTGAAGTTTTTTTTTTGCTTGTTTGTTTGTTTGTTTGTTCTTTGAAGATTTTACTTATTTATTCGAGAGAGAGAAATGATCAGGGAGAGAGCCGAGGGAGAAGCGGACTCCCCACTGAGCAGGGAGCCTGATTGGGGACTTGATCCCAGGACCTGGGGATCATGACCTGGGCCGAAGGCAGACACTTAACAACTGAGCTACCCAGATGCCCCAGGTTTTAAATTTTTAACATTCATTCTGTTTCAGGTAGACTTCCCTTAAATTAACTCATTTATCACCATCCCTTTGGTTTGATATTTTCATACCATTTCTCAGGATAAGAAATAAAGATTTCAGTTGTTTATTTATAATGGGAGGGACTTGATAGAACAGACTTCTGGGCCATTCTTGCCTTTGCCTGTTTCTTATATTTCAGAATTACAAAGAGAAGCTACTCAGGGAAGTAAAGATTAGAGCAAATTTGGGAATGACTTTTGGTGGGGCAGCACAGCTAATGAAGCTACCTAAAAACTTGCTGATTGATGACATGAAGACCGTCTGTGGAATTAGTTGTTTGTCTTTAGATTTCAATAATTTACCAAAAAAGTGAGTAAAAATGTAAATTAAACAGAAACAAGTTCCAGAAGCTCCTAACAGTTTGATATGGGTCAGTGATGACAATGAAGCCTAAAGAAATTGCACACTCTCATGTCTTTCTCTTCTCGCAAGTTGCAACAGGAACTTCTAGCCATAAAACAGCAGCAAGAACTCCTAGAAAAGGAGCAGAAACTGGAGCAGCAGAGGCAAGAACAGGAAGTAGAGAGGCACCGCAGAGAACAGCAGCTTCCTCCTCTCAGAGGCAAAGATAGAGGACGAGAAAGTAAGAGGCACCAGGGGTAAAAGATGCATCTCTCCCCTCCTGTTTAGCTGGTCATCATTCAGAGTGAAGCCTGATAAGGAGTGGAATTAAACTTGTCACAAGTAAACTAAAATAAACTTGTCAAAACTGTCTGCATTTAGTTAAAGAATAAATTGTGGACCCCCGTCTAAAACTTTCTTGACATTAACATCTCATCTCTCTGCATTCGGTCTGCAGTGTCTCGGGGAAGTCCACTGAGCCTTGTTTGGCAGAGATACTGATTTTCTGTTGTCTTGAACCTTAAAAAAGAGTTTCTACTAAAGCAATCTAGCCATGCCATATTGTTTTATTAATAAACTTACTTCCACATTTCCTCACTGTACCTTCCTTCTGCTCAAGTAATAATTGCTCTGTAAGTCAAGCCTTTGCCTCCATAGTTTTTGAGTCCCCGGACTCAGGGAAGATTTAAGGCAGAACATTTGTTTAAAAAAACTATCCACAAGAGGGAGACAGATCCAAATAATTCCCTTGTCTGAGGTCAGTTCAAAATCAGGATGTAGCACTAAAGATGAGACGACTAGAACTGAAACTGTCAGTGATATTTATTTGTTTCATGCTCAAAAGAGTTTTTTTTTAAAACGTGAGTTTTTCAAACTAGCAATTCAGGAAGATCATTGTATTGTGTTCAATCATTTATGTGGTCCCCTAAGACTCTTGATTTTTAAAAGGCAGTGTTTTATTCCTAATTTTTTTTTTTTTTACCTCAGGAAAAAATTAGTCTTAATTCTGGGACTCCCCCTTCTGCAGAAGCAATTAAAGAAATCGTCCAAGGTCCTTTGAAAATTGGCGGTTTGACCAGTAGTTACAAAACATTACCTATGCCATTTTCCAAAAGCCTGTTTAGACTCTGGTTTCTTCTTTTAATAGGAAAGCTTCATATGCAGTGACCAGTGGTGTTACTTCTTAATTTTTGTTAAATTCTTCAGAGATACAGAAGGACAAAGCCCCACATCAACATCCGTTTCTGTATGTGTGTGTTTCAGGGGCAGTGGCAAGTACAGAAGTAAAGCAGAAGCTTCAAGAATTCCTATTGAGTAAATCAGCAACAAAAGACACTCCAACAAATGGAAAAAATCATTCCGTGAGCCGCCATCCCAAGCTCTGGTACACGTATGTTCAGTGTTTGGCCTTTTTCCTTCCCAGAGGTCAAGAACATAGGTTCAGTGCTCAGCCAGCCTGGGCACTGGACCGGGGTCTGCCAGTTCTCAGCTCTGTGGCAGTGGAGAAGCTCCTTGAATTCTCGTCCTTCTCAGTGAGAAGATCATGATAGTACCTGCCCTCTAGGGTTGCTAGAAAGGTCTTATGAAATAATACAGTAAAGTATGTAACAGAGAGTAGTGCTTAATAAATGTTAGCAAGTATCATCTTGAGGGCAAGGAAGTAGATAATGTTTTTTGGTGAATGAGTAACAGAAGTGTGGGGTGGGGCATAGAAATTAGTTCCTATTTTGCATTTTTCTATTCTCAGATGGTGCATCTGATATCTTTACAATAATTTCTGAAGATTTGGCAGGTTGAGACTTTATTTTACTTGGCTCGATAGAAGGTGGAGATCTGAGCTATTTTTAAAAGACCAGAAGCTTTTCGACTTAAAAAAAAAAAAAGGCAGGAAGACAAAAGAGGGAAGAGAAAGAGAACGGAGGCAAGGAAGTAAAGCGGAGTCTTCATGACAAGTTTACCCCTGACCATCTGACTTCATTTCTTGTCACACTGTGAGCTGAGCACACTGACTTCTCTCACACACCAGCTGACAACATCAGACACTGCTGTTACGGACACCCGGAACCATGTTTCCCCAGGTCCAGTGAAGAGAACTATGAGATACACAGTTCTCCTCTCAGGAAAATAGAAACGATGTGGTGTTTTTAAAAATCAGGACAAATACTGATAAGCAAATGTTTGGATAATAGACTGTAATAGACAGTACTTTCATTTTTCTCATTTTATATGTTTACTGAATGACCATCAGGTTTTAGACTTACATCTTTTTGATTCTTCAGCTCATCAAAGATAAGGGAATATATACTTGAATGCTCTATATTGAAACTGTAAGCATCCCAAGAGTTCTAGTTAAAGAGTTCTTATACTTCTGTTTTATAAGTATCTGCCCTTCTCAGCATGCAAAAAAAAAAAAAAAAAAAAAAAAGTGACCAAGGCTGATTCCAGAGTGCTGCATAAATACTTTTTAATGGTTTATGTAATTTCTATCAGGCATGTCAGTTGACTTGAGAAGCCAGTCCCTGAAGAAAATTTTCAGATGTTCAGTTAACATCACAAAGTATTTAGAAATAAACACCACTTTGTTACCTAAAATTACATACATAATTTGTAACTAATTCATATTTCTTGTAGGTTAAAGCTCATTTTAAGAAGAGGCAATACCTTTTTTAAGTGGGAAAACAACTAACTAGAGGCAAACAGCATGTCAGCTGAAAGTTCTTCAGCTTTCCCCTTGGGTATATTAAATATTTACTTAGCAATCCTTTTTTGTGCTGACTTGAACTTCAGTAGGGTCCAACGCCAGACACCATAAATCATTAATTTATGGAATCTGAATTTAATACTTTTTTTCTAGTTAGGGCTAGATGAAGTGTCCTTAAACAAGTTAATTTTTGAGAATGTGTGATTCAGATAAACGATACTGGTACAATCACCATCCTGGTGGTGATACTGTTCCCTGTTGGTTGTTTTCTTCACATATCGTAGTTGTGGGTGTTCACGTCCACTGGATAACTGACGTTCAGTTCTGAAAACTCCTCCCCAGTAGTACAGGTCCACCTCTTTCACTATATTTATGTAGGGGCAAGGAAACATTTTTAAAAATTAGTTTCATATTGGGGAAATACGTGATTGCCAGCCTTTACCTTGGAAGTGCTGTTCAAGCCAGGGGATCTGAGACTGTGATAACGGTAGTTTCACTGTGGTAGAAAAGCACCTTCGTGTACTTTTGTGTATTACCTAACAATTTTTGCAAACGAAGTCCCTTCTATATGTTTACTGGTACTCTGGCTATTCTACCCTGTTGGCTAAAAAGGATTTGGGTGGTGACCTTTTTGTAAGTGTGGCACCTAAGAGAAATCCACAATGATCTCAGATGATCCAAACTCAGGCTCTCGGTGAATTCTCTGTTAGTGAGGCAAGGTTTGTACAAGTGAGTGACCGGACACACAGTGGTCATTCTTGGGGGTCCTGCAACATTCTGTAGCATACTGCTAAAGTGAACTTGGTTCGCGAGGCTGTGATTGCATACACTGGACAGAAAGAACATAAACGCAGCTGAGACACGTGTACAGCATGTGCAACTGATTATTGCTGACCAACATACGGGAAATACTCCAGAGCAAATGGTGAAGCCTCTTTTTCTTTGGTAGGGCTGCCCACCACACGTCACTGGATCAAAGCTCTCCACCCCTGAGTGGAACATCTCCATCCTACAAATACACATTACCAGGAGCACAGGACACGAAGGATGATTTCCCCCTTCGAAAAACTGGTAAGTTGGTTTAGCAAGATCCACTTGCTTTTCCATAATGTACCTATAGTTTTGTTTGGCCATCCTCTAGAGGAAAGCCAAAGGATTTGCATCACAGCTCTTCTGCCCCCTCCATCCCTCCCCTTAGCACAAACAAACATGTGCATGCAGACACGTACACCCCCGATTTCAACACCAGTTGATTCAGGATATAATCAAAGTATCTTTTCTAATTTAAAAGTTCACCCTATTTGGATTTTAAACAAATCCAACAAAAAGTGGAATTACAAAACAAAGCCAACAAAGAGTAGAATTAAGGAAGATAAAAATTCGATTTCTCCAAAAATTTGAATCTTCTCCACTAATGAGGACCTCTGTAATTTTCCCCATTTATCTAAATTTTCCTTTGGCCTCAGCCATTTACTGAAAAAATAGGAATAATAAACTTTCTTTTTCTTACACATTTTAGCACTTGTAAATTTTAATTGTTTAAGTGGTGAAACAGATAAGACCAAGGCTACCTTCTGAGTAAGTGACTTGCCTAATGTCTCACAGATTACAGGAGAACTCAGAGTGATGCTTTGTACCTAATAATCTCATGTAATTATATAAAAATTTGCTTAGGGGAACTGAGACAATGAAGCTTCTATTTGGAATTTAGTAAACCGCCTTCTGGCTCTAAGGCTAGTATTTGTTTGCTCAAATTCTCCATTTTCAGACCCCTGATACATGAATATTTAATGTGTTGCATGCTCTTACCTCTGTAATAAATATATTTAAAGTTCAGCTAGATATAAGCATAAATACCATTGGTGTGCATTCTGTTCTAAATCATATGTTTTCCAAATACAGTGTTTTTTTTTTAAGGAAAATAAGTAAATTTTAAAATCTTTGTATCTAGAACTATCTGAAAAGATATTCAGAGAAGATAGTTTGGTCCATTGTATTTTACTTAGGTTTACTTAAGATTAGATCTATGTAGTTTGTATTTGAATCCTACAGAGCAAAAATGCTTTCCAATAATTATATTCATTTTCCCAAGCAATCATGAATAACAAAAATAGATATAGATTGTAAAACCACACGCTAAAGCTATTGTCTGTCATAATTTACCTTAGCATAATGAAGATTTAAAAATAAAATCCATCATAAGTAGGAGCGTACTACCTACCATCTTTTGTACCAGGCACTGGGGTAGGATAGTGAAGTATTGCAAACCAGTCTTTGCCTTCTTATTTTTATAGCCCAAGGAGTTTTGCATTTCTACTATAAGACAATAGGGTATAGTAAAATACTTCCAAGAAGTAAAATACCTCCAGAGGTCTATGCAAAGAGGAGAATGAGATTTATGTATTGCATTAAAATTTCACACTATTATGTACAAATCAGATTGCCTTTCATGTAAATAAACTTGTCTGGGTTAAAAGGAAGAACGCAAAGAATGAGCTTCCATGTATGTCTAAAACACAGAGTATAGTTTATGAAAATTGATCCAAAGAGGACATGAGTTTTAGAATGTGCCGACTTTGATCTGCTGTCTTGACATTTAGTTGCACCAGTGGCTTATGTAGAAACTATTGACAGAGATTATGTGACTATTGCCCCAGGTCTCAGGGCAGTGACTGGCATTCAAGGACCTGAGGAGTCACTAAAAGGAAAGAAAACATAAGTCCCCTTATGGCAGGAGGTTACTGATGAGTGATACAGTTACATTCATGGAGAAAGACTTCTACCCTGCTGTGCACACAGCCTTTGAATATATTCTTACCACTGGGAGACTGAAAACTGACTGCAGAGCTGACACTGACTTTGAAAAGAAGTGGCATTTGGAACCAGTAAAGCATCCAGAAAGAAAATCTGATCTTTTTCAATACTTAAGAACAAGTACTGAAAACCCATACTCTGTGTCCCAGTTTCCATGAGAACAAGTTTAGGATTTTTTTTTTTTTTTCTCTGTAAGGAATGACTAGCGAGCTGTTAATTTATTCTTGTAAAAATTCTCAGTCCACAACAGAATTCAAAGAGAAACCCTGCTCACTATATATGTTGCAAAATTTTATTCAGATCTGCACTAATAGAACAGGCATTTTCTGTGTCTGTGTGATACATAGTAATAGTGAAAAGATCCAGCCCTTGTCTTGGCTCATGTTCTATTTTCTGTATCTGCCTAATATTTTAAGGTTATTCCCTTTGTAAAATTGAAAATCTGATATTAATGAAGCGTCAGGCCATTGATTTATAAAACTGAACTCTTCAAGCATTATACCAACGAAGTTCTTGAACAGCCATTAATACCTTTATATCTGCATAGGGGTTTTAAAATATTTCTTAATTCAATTCCCATCATCTAAGAGAAGGGCGATATAATTAAATACAGATGTTTTGTGCACATTATCTAAAGTACTTAAGAGATATCCTTCATTAATTACAAATAGGCAGAACAGAACTCTTCTTGCTTTTATCAATATGGTCCATTTGATATATTTCCAGTCCACTGTGAGAAAGTTTAGACATATATTTGCACTAAGTAGAAGAGCACTGAAATGCAGTCAAGTGATGATTTTTATTTCAGTGTTTCTTGTGTTTATCACTTAATAGCTATTATAAAAAAGTAAAACATTATAATAATTACAATTAAACATATGTAATGATTGGGGAAACGAAGATATTTTTTGCATTAAGCTACCTCGTATAAAATGAAATCTGGAGCAGTGGCATCGATGACATAGTGTAAATACCAGGACAGCTGTAACAGAGTCAGCTTTTCCTACTGGGGCCTGATTATCACCCTCTGTGGTCTACTTGAATTTCACTGAACTCAATCTTAGATTTAAAAGAAGTTATTAAATGAGTGGATTCTCTTTGGATCCATTGCACATAGTACTGAATACTTCCAATTTCTTTTTAACCTACATCAGGACTGAACTGCCAATATGTATTAGCAAGATTTAAGGGAGTAGAGCTGGAACCAGAATAAGAAAAGTTGTAATGATCTTAAAATGATTAAAGTGGCCCCAGGGGTGTCCCTTAAGCAGTGAGCACAGTTTGGAACCTCTCTTGACCTCCTAGGACCCAGCCAGCCAGTGATAACCTAGGAACAGTCAATCAAAGAGGTCTCATTTGTCTGCAGAAATCTGACCTTTGTCATGCAAAGTGGACCTTTACTTCCTTCCCCTTAGGAGGATCACGGTTGCGCCTAGCATTTAGGAAACATCAGAATAATACAAAATAGGTGGCTCTAATCAGGCCCATTCCTAATTCATTTTTCTTTTAAATGTGGGAATTGAGATTCTTTTGCTCCTTTCACAGTGCACATTGAAGGATTTCATAATTAGTTGTGAAGTTGAGAATGAAATCATTGTTTTCAATTTTTATATTTATCACCCACACTTAAAATTAGCACTTCCTTTTAGAATTACCTTCTGCAATTCTTTTTTGTTCCACAACACAAAGATTTGTTGATACTGAAATTTGTACTACTTTATTGAACTTTTTGTTTTGGCACCAAATTATATTATACTGTGGTAGGTGACCTTTTTTCCCCCTAATAGAGTATATTTCTAGACTGATAACAAACTATAAAATAGAGAAAGGAAGCATCTAGGTCCAGGCACTTTTGAAATAATGCATATTTTTCCCAAAGATACTGCATATGTGCTGACTTTGAATTGACCTGCAGAACCATTTGAATTGGATTCTGTTCCACTGAGCGTATACGTATGTTTCATAAAATGTTATGGTAAAAAGTTCTAGAGGTTTTATGGCCCATTATATTATTGGGGTCTTACCTAGTGAGCTTTGCCTTTCTTTGAATGTTACAGTCTTTCTATTTAATCCTTTTGAACAAAGTGAACTGGCGGGCTAGATTAACCTCTTAAAGCATGCAAGCCATAGAAAGCTTGGCTCAGGCCAACAGGACTGTTCCAGCCCCGCTGAAATATTCATCTTGAATGGTCAGCAACGCTAGAGTTAGACTCATATGGAAGGGGTCCAAACATAAGTTAAGGTTTTGGAAGGCCAGTGTCATTTTCCACACTGAGTAAATTGGAAAGAAGGCAGAGGTGAGACAGATAGCTTTATAAATCTCCCTCAGAATAGCAGTTAGAAGTTATGTTCTGGTACCTTGGTGACCTATTCACGTTCGTATAATCCAGAATTAATACAAGGAGGATTTTTTTAATCTTTTTTTCTTTTTCCAAGATTTTATTTATTTATTAGAAAGAGAGAAAGAGAGCACTGAGCTGGGAGGAGAGAAGCAGATTCACGTCAAGCAAGGAGCCTGGGATCATGACCTGAGCTGAGCAGTCGCTTAACCCACTGAGCCTCCCAGCACCGCCCCCCACCTTTACCTTATGTTTTAAAAATCTCTCTTTCTTCTTTCCTCTGTCTCTCTAATTCTGTGTTTTTCTCATGATACACAAACACGTGCTCACGTGAACGCATGGGCACGCGCACATGTTTCTATACAGATAGCATGAAAAGAACACTTACGCTTATGAAAACATCGCTCCGAATCTTATTCCAGACTAAAAAAACCTGGAGAATTTTTACCTGTCTTAGTACTCTATCTTAGTTCTACTGTTGCAGTCACTCTTGCTTAAAATCATTAGAATAATCTTTTGGGGATAAAATTACACCAGTTTTCCCAGAATTAAGAAGCAATGTGGAGCAGTAACAACACGCTTTGAATCCACCTACCAGTTTGAAGTCTGGATCCTCAGTCTTAGGAAATGTACTGAACCTCCTCGGCCTATGACTCAGTCATCTGCAAAATGGGAATAATTATTGCATTTGGTTCATACAGTTGTTTTAGGAATTCGATGAAGTATTGCGTGTAATGAGCTTAGGATCATACCTAGGATTTAGGGAGTGTGTAGTTAGTTCTATGTTTCTAGTTGAGAAGGAATTCAGTTTCATTTCTTTTTATCAAGTTAAAACTCTATCTCTTATTGTTGTGGAAAGTCTTTAAGGTCTAACATTCTGCCACATTTATTGATTAAACAAGTAACTGCAGAAAAAGT